AGAAAAAAAATCCAAAGAGATGTTAAAATCATAACTCTTGATGACTTCACTTTTTCTATATTAAAGTCGTTACCATTCTAACGACTTCACTTTTTGTTTTTTTGTTTATTTACTTAATTTATGTACAGATACATTCCACTCATAAAAAACTTACATCAGTACATAAGAATTTTGATATAAATACATACTTTAATTATTTATCTATTAATTTGCCTATAAGTTTTTTATGTAAACATAAAGAAAAGTATTTATGTGTGTATCAAATATTATATATTTACAAAGAATCTACATGAATTTTTTAGAAATCCTTTTACTTAAATTTTTTTAACTAGAATTTATAATTCAAAGTACTTGTTTTCAAGGACCAATTAGATCAAGTATGAATTTGCTCCACAAATTTATATAATTTTTTAAAATATCCTTATTTTCTTCTTAAACCTATAAGTGTTTTTTTTATAACACTTTAGTTTTGTTTTTGAAAAGACAATTATTTTTATTTTTTAAAAGAATATTTTTCATAATATCGTTATAAGTAATTAAGAATAGTTAACGTGAAAATACTTATATTAAAAATGAACATAAAGATAAAAATGTTAGCAAACAGAAGAAGATGGACATTTTGCTTCAATAAAGAATTTTGACGATGATGTTTTATGGAGAAGTGTTAAAGAATAAAAGTGTTTGCTTTCAAGAAATATTTGGAAGATTCAATAATTTAGATGATAAAGTCTTGTAATATGATACTTGGAAGACTCAATAATTTAGTTGATAAAGTCTTGTAATGTGTGTATTGTAATTAATTTAGTAGTTCAAGAGTCAATAACTAGAACCCAAGTAGCAGAAAACTTAGAAATTTTTTTATTTTTCATAAAGTCTATGTGATAATCGATTATCACTTTGATAATCGATTATCCCCAAAAGCATGAATTATTAAGGCTCGCAGATAATCGATTATCACTTATGATGATAATCGATTATTAGTGGCAGTTATGAACTTGACTCTTAGTTTTCTGACCTAATTTTCAAAAGTAAGAGTCTATAAATAATTAACTTAAACATAACTTTAAAAGAACTTTTCACTAAGAGTATTAGAGTTGTGTGTCTAAGAGAAATTGAGTCTTTGTGAACTTGTGAACTTGGTGCTTGTAAGAGGAAATGTTCTTTCTTAGTGTGTCTAAATGGTGAAATATACCTACAAAGCATAATCAAGTTGTTTATCCTTTTACGCATCAAAAAGAGGTGTCTTTCATCTCTTATGAGGTGTTTTCCAATCTCAATCTCTCAATTGTAAATTGTTACTTATTTTAGTGGAAAGGTTAATCCCTCTTTTGAAGAGATTAACAACTAGACATATGATCTTTTGTTACATAGAATCTTTTGTTCAAACCAGCATAAAATTTATCTGTGTAATTTTTCTCTTTCCTTCTCTCCTTTATTTATTTATTTTTATTCAAAATTAACTTTTATGATTTATTAAATAAATTTTTAAAAACAAAAATCTATTAAAGAGAAACAATTTTTAAAAATAATTCATCCCTCTTTTTAGTCTTGTCGGAATATGTTTTTAAATATTCATTGCACGATATCGATTCCAATGAAAAAACTATTTTTCATAATAGTTAAGGTGAAAATACTTATATTAAAAATGAACATAATGATAAAAAAAATAAAAAATTAAAGTTTTTTTTTCACTAACTTTGTATTAACTCAATGTTTCTTAATTCATATTAAAAGATTGAGAAAGTATTAATGGATAAATAATTAATATAGTCCTCAAATGTGTAAGTTCTTATGAATTCAGTTCTCAATAAAATGAAATGTTTATTTTAATATTTAAACATGTAAAAGTCTTGAAACTATATTTTGGTGATCAAATAAAAATACGGAAAATAGATACAAGAAATATCACTAACAAAAAGTGCTTCAGAAAAACGTGCTTAAATGAAAATCGTAAACTGAAAAACGACTTTCAATTTAATTTTTATATAAACCCTAAACAATTTCCATTTATAATGAATAGAAAATGTTTAGTATGGTAGAATAGAAGTTTTTAACAAATAATATTTTATTATGGTAGAATAACAATTGTTTATTTCTAGGAATACTTAGTCTGGAATACCATGTATATTTTTATACAAATAATTTTATCCCAAATTCTACGTGAGTTTTGGTATATTGAAGTTATTTTTATCCCACTCTCTATATGTATTTCATGAATTCAAAAGTGAGGTTGAAAAGATGAATGCTCATGCAGAGGAAATATACACTGAACAAGGTTCGTAATAAGACAAATTGTTTATATAAAAGTAAAAAAAAAATTATAACATTTATTTCTCCTATTTATTGAATTCATTTTATTTCAATAAAGACTCAAGCTTATTGTAATGGTTTTAAATTTTCTCAAATGACCTTTAAATAAACAAATTTTTATGAAATAAATAAAAAATAAAAACTATAACATTATATTTATGCATTTTCTAGAATAAATTTAAATATTAAAAAAATGTCCAACCACAAAAAATTTGCAAATAATAGTAAAAGATATTTTAAAAATTTAAAATAAAAATTACTAACATGGAAAAAAAATAAATGAAAATCCTACAAAACTACAAATGCGTACTTATACACGATTTCGCAAAATCTTAAAAGAAATTAGAGAAACGTGCTTCCAGGCACGATTCATGCTACTAAGTGTAATCTCAAAGAAAAAAAAACTGCAACAAAGCACTATTTCAAAAAGAATAAAAAAACGAAAATAAGAAAATGTGTTAAAGAACATGAATTTGAAGAAAAAAAAAAATTAAACTCAACCTTTTCATTGTAAAGTCATATTTTCAACCATAATTTAATAAATTCTCCAACAAAAAGCCTTTGATTAAAAAAGAAACTTATGTTGATAGAAGGTAAGTCCTTTTGTATTAAATTTTATTTCAAAACCTGGGTGTTCTAAGCCATCTCCCAATGCCAACATAATGTTATTCACCAACCTTAAGTTTTGTCAACTATGAAACCAAACTTTGAACATCGATCAACGATGTTTATGTAAAAATAAAAATTGTCCATCGATGTTCTTTATTTCCAACGTATATTTATCATACCCAAAATTATTGATTTTAGAAATAAAAATTAAAACCAAAATTTAAAATTTTTCAACAACTAAAGACACTTTTGGATTTAAATTTAAAGTAAATTTTATAATTAAAATTAATTTTCCATATTTAATTATGTGTTAACTTCTAATATTATTTTTGTTATGAAAATTACAGATAAACCTTTAATCTTAAATATAAAATACTACCAAATACACCTAAAATTTTGACTTTTTTTTGCAAGACTAAACGTCAGTTGACTTTAAAATAATAATAATAATAATAATAATGTAAACAACCGTAGTTGACTTTAATATTTGTTACAGTACATAAAAGATAGAATGGTAAAGTCAATAGGTGCTCGTTGACGGCACAAATTGATTTTCTGTTACATAACAGTATAACACAAAAAATAAAGCTTCTCGCATTTTATTTTTCCCATATGTTTTCTTTCTTAAGTCATTCTCGCCGTTGATTGAGGAATTAATAATATATTTTATTGAAATTAAGTTAAAAATATTTAAGATTGTAAATAAATTAATAACACGTTCTATAAAAAAAATCCTTTAATTCAAAGTATTCAAACATTTGTTTTTGATAAAATCAGTAATTAAATAATTGAAAGAGTAATTTTCTTTTTATATTATCATCTTATCATAGAAGGTATTTGGTAAGACTCTTCACTTTTTAAACACCTGTTTCAAAAGTTACATTATATATATATATATTATCATCCCATTTCTTTTATTAACATCTTCTGCAAATTTGATTGATCGCCGTGCAACATGCAGCAGTTTCGCACTCATTGCGTATAAATTTTCACTCACATAAATATGGAACATCTTACAAGATATCGAAATTTTGAACAGAAGATTCAGGAATTCTTTTTTTTTTATCACTGATAATATGAACAAAATAATCTGAATGAAAGGAGTTACCGCTAGAATTTAACAAGTTAAAAGCCTATGATGAATGGCATTTAGATCGGGCCTGTTCAGTATAGCATATGGTCGACCAATTAGTCTCTTCCTTCCTCCATTGAAGCTTTCCTTCCAAGCAAGATCAGCCTTGCACATTTCAAGCACAACCCAAAATTCTCGTATCCTGGTCACAGAACTTGGCTGCATGGCCCCCAACACAACATACCAGAGGAAGTTTTCTGTTCATGCTATGTAACATTCCAATGGAACAGGTTCTTTACTTTCAGTGGCCCGTCAGCTCTTTTCTAAGCCATCATGGATCAGCTGTGACAATATATCGACCCATGTGTCGGGAACACCAGGCAGACACCAATGCATGCAATCCTGACCCCATACTGCAACTGCATCTTTCCTTCCTAACCAAATTGCTGGATGAGCATCAGCTCTGAACTCACTTAAATGAGTTAAGTCAAGCAAGTGAATGTCTGTGCCTTCTAATGCTTCTTCAATCACATAATTCAATAGTCTTGCTTCCCTGTTAACTCCGTTGTTCCTGGGTTCAAACCATGAGTCAAGCTGTCCAGGTATTAGTATATCAAAACACATGGGGCATGGAACACATTGCAACAGGTCCCTCAGAAAAAGTGAAGCATTCTAGTTGTTTAAAATAAAAACATTTATCAAATGCCACCCATAGTTGGATGTTCTTTTGTGAGACGTGTTACACAGTTAAATGAGGGAGAAATTTCAGAAAAGCATGTTCTAAAATGTAGCAATTTATAGCATAACAAATTGGGAGGACCATAATGTTAGGTTTACTGAAGAGGAGTTTCACGGGAAAAATACAATACCAATAAAATCTGAGCCCAATACCAATAAGATCTGACCCAACCATATAAAGAATTGTCATCACTCTCTACCCAAAAACAATAGGTTAATGGGTTCAGAAAGATACAACACCAATGCTCAATTTTCTCATTTCTAATCAATACGAGACTTAGACTCATGCTTGGATTCTCAACACATAAAAGTGATTAACATTGCAAGAAAGAAAAGGAAAAGAGAGACTTCCCCAAGGAGAAAAAAAAATGCAGACGAGTTTCAGAAATACACACCTCATTCTCCTCAAGGGGCCTGTTGAACAAGCAGCTCCCATTTTGATTCCAGTCACCACCATAAAAGTGTCTTGGGGATTGTAATCTCCAGAATTTAAGGGTGTTTCTAGGAAATTCTTTCTGAATGTATGTGATCATATTAGCAAGAACAACTTTGAGTCCATCTAACATCCCAAGAGGCGGAACTATTGCTTGTCCTGCTTGATAGAAGACGAGAGGCTTCTCTTCTGGAAATTTGTCATTATTCCACCTATTAAACACCAAATCAAGTAACTATGTACATTCAATCATTGGAACAGTTCATAAAAATACAGAGACAAGCCAAAAAAAATTAGACCCAAACCAGTTTCATAAAAAATATGTTGCAACACAAGAAATCCTCTTTAAGCTCTTTTCAATTTTTTAACAATTAATATTATTACTTATTTAATTCATTCATTTTTACTTCCTGTATATGCGTTGTGAGTGAGTAGTTGAGTCATTCAACAACTCTTAAACAAAGCATATATAGGCAGTCAAATTCAATTTTATTAAAGTGGTAGTGCATCATCCGGAAATTACAGAATTCAAGAAAACAAGAATTACCAGTGACCAGTATTAAACACCAGAACATCATAGAATCCGGCAATTTTAGCCCAATCATCAGCAGGAACATCAACATCAACTCGATAAAAGCCTTCTGATCCATCTTGCATCCCACCTTTTGCTTGTTTTGGCTGCCACCTTTGTTTAATCAGTAATGAGCTCATAAGGTTTCCATTTTCAAATTGACATCAAAGCAACATAGTAAAATAAGGCAATCAGAACTCAAAAAACAGGAACCACTTAAAACTAAGATAGAGTTACTGGATGAAAATTATAAAAAGATGAAATATTTCAGAGAAATAAGCTGAAAGTTGAAACTGCAAATAGCGTAGCCAAACAAGATAAAAGAAGGAAACCAAGTTAGTTGACTTTGTAGAATGCCGATCTTCAATCCCAAATTATATAAAGTTCAGTTTTAGGAAACATTTACTCCATTAATCATCATTGCCTAGCTAAAACCAGAAAAAAAAATGTTAGGGGAGCAAAGTTTTGCCCCAACCTAATGACAAATGGACTTGATACCAAGAGCGCTGCCCCTACGCACTCACACTTAGTTCCCTTTTGTCCTTGCCCACGCCCTATTAAAATTAAACACTCTATTGATATTGAAACCAAAGCAAAAGGAAACAATGTAACATTCATAAACATATTTTAACAGTCAAAATAAAAGCATATCTACTTCTAAAATCCTAAATAGGAAATGTGAAGAGTAAGAATCTTCCTTCATGTATCTTTATCAGATTCATGCATATATTGTAGTATGATGCATATTTTGGTAGGGATGCATAAAGGAATTACTAATTTAGTATGATCCACAGAAAAGTGATTTTTTTAATACAAATACAATGCAGAAACTTTAACAGGAGTGCTGTATATATTCAATAAGTGGATAAAATATATATGTTTAGATTTCTGAGAAGTATTGTTCAGCTGCAGCGTTTATATTTGTGTTTCTAAAGTACTAATGCATCATCATAAACAATTCTCATAACAGTGCTATAGTCTACATCTATAGGTTCTTCTAATCCATAAAACGAGCTGCAGTATGTGTCGGATAAATAACTACAAAATGAAAATATCCAATTCACAAATATAGCCAAAACTATGAACCAACAACAACATACAAGTAGGACAGAGAATTGTTTGGATAAAATTCTCCAAAAGCACTAATAGAAGAAAGAAAATTAGTTTAAGCATAATTTAAAAATAAACTTTTGGAGAACTTCAGCATGACTTAAATAGAAACAAAATTTAACATATGGAGAAGTCTATTTTTTTTCTCCTTCTCCTACAATTGTTTATGGAAAAGTTCAATGTTGAAAACTCAACAAGAATTTCCAGTCATTAAATACATCTCCGGGATAGATTATCACCAACCCTGTAGTTTAAAGTTCAAACGCTACTCTTTCAATTCAAGAACAAGTTTGTTGTTTCAACATCCTTCAAACCACCACCTATCAAACTTTATTCCACCGGCACACACCCAAATCTGAACCAACAATCAACAGCACATAAGTATCAACCTTTTGGTTATCCGATACAACCTAGAATGCCCGGTTGATATCAAATATAAATTTCACACCAAATTTCAGTACGTCAACCAATCTCTAAGGATCTAAGCTAACTCTCTACAGCATCTATCCAAAATTAAGCTTTAAACTTGAAATAAAGCACCATACTTGCCACCACCTCTTCAAGTGAAATGCACATTCAGACTATCAGGCGAGGAGTTACATACCCCCTTCATGTAAAACAAAGCAGTACATATCTATTTGCAATTATCTGAACCAAAAAGAAAAAAAAAATTGGTTAATGAGAATATTACTGGTATCTGGAGAGCAAAACAGCACGGTGATAAGCGACGGTGACATTGAATTTGGGAAAATAGGCACCCCTCCAAGCACCCTTCTTTTTCCACTTTTTGGCTCCCTCATCGGCGACCCTGAGAGTGCAGAGAAAAGAAGCCAAGAAATTCTCGTTGAGGGAGTCCCCAACAAACCCAATGTTCCTGTTCCTCATCCGACCCAGAAACTNCCGTTGTTCCTGGGTTCAAACCATGAGTCAAGCTGTCCAGGTATTAGTATATCAAAACACATGGGGCATGGAACACATTGCAACAGGTCCCTCAGAAAAAGTGAAGCATTCTAGTTGTTTAAAATAAAAACATTTATCAAATGCCACCCATAGTTGGATGTTCTTTTGTGAGACGTGTTACACAGTTAAATGAGGGAGAAATTTCAGAAAAGCATGTTCTAAAATGTAGCAATTTATAGCATAACAAATTGGGAGGACCATAATGTTAGGTTTACTGAAGAGGAGTTTCACGGGAAAAATACAAAACCAATAAAATCTGAACCCAATAACAATAAGACCTGAGCCCAACCATATAAAGAATTGTCATCACTCTCTACCCAAAAACAATAGGTTAATGGGTTCAGAAAGATACAAAACCAATGCTCAATTTTCTCATTTCTAATCAATACGAGACTTAGACTCATGCTTGGATTCTCAACACATAAAAGTGATTAACATTGCAAGAAAGAAAAGGAAAAGAGAGACTTCCCCAAGGAGAAAAAAAAATGCAGACGAGTTTCAGAAATACACACCTCATTCTCCTCAAGGGGCCTGTTGAACAAGCAGCTCCCATTTTGATTCCAGTCACCACCATAAAAGTGTCTTGGGGATTGTAATCTCCAGAATTTAAGGGTGTTTCTAGGAAATTCTTTCTGAATGTATGTGATCATATTAGCAAGAACAACTTTGAGTCCATCTAACATCCCAAGAGGCGGAACTATTGCTTGTCCTGCTTGATAGAAGACGAGAGGCTTCTCTTCTGGAAATTTGTCATTATTCCACCTATTAAACACCAAATCAAGTAACTATGTACATTCAATCATTGGAACAGTTCATAAAAATACAGAGACAAGCCAAAAAAAATTAGACCCAAACCAGTTTCATAAAAAATATGTTGCAACACAAGAAATCCTCTTTAAGCTCTTTTCAATTTTTTAACAATTAATATTATTACTTATTTAATTCATTCATTTTTACTTCCTGTATATGCGTTGTGAGTGAGTAGTTGAGTCATTCAACAACTCTTAAACAAAGCATATATAGGCAGTCAAATTCAATTTTATTAAAGTGGTAGTGCATCATCCGGAAATTACAGAATTCAAGAAAACAAGAATTACCAGTGACCAGTATTAAACACCAGAACATCATAGAATCCGGCAATTTTAGCCCAATCATCAGCAGGAACATCAACATCAACTCGATAAAAGCCTTCTGATCCATCTTGCATCCCACCTTTTGCTTGTTTTGGCTGCCACCTTTGTTTAATCAGTAATGAGCTCATAAGGTTTCCATTTTCAAATTGACATCAAAGCAACATAGTAAAATAAGGCAATCAGAACTCAAAAAACAGGAACCACTTAAAACTAAGATAGAGTTAATGGATGAAAATTATAAAAAGATGAAATATTTCAGAGAAATAAGCTGAAAGTTGAAACTGCAAATAGCGTAGCCAAACAAGATAAAAGAAGGAAACCAAGTTAGTTGACTTTGTAGAATGCCGATCTTCAATCCCAAATTATATAAAGTTCAGTTTTAGGAAACATTTACTCCATTAATCATCATTGCCTAGCTAAAACCAGAAAAAAAAATGTTAGGGGAGCAAAGTTTTGCCCCAACCTAATGACAAATGGACTTGATACCAAGAGCGCTGCCCCTACGCACTCACACTTAGTTCCCTTTTGTCCTTGCCCACGCCCTATTAAAATTAAACACTCTATTGATATTGAAACCAAAGCAAAAGGAAACAATGTAA